TGGTGCATGAAGGGACAGTGTGCTTGAGTTGGGTGATAGGGCAGAGAGGGAGACGTAACTCTGGTAATTGGGGGGTTTTGGTGGCCAGGCAGGGAAAAGGAAGCGCCCAAGGTACAGAGAACTTTCATAGCCAGAGGAGTTTGGACCTAATTTAATCCACTTTCTTTCTTTCTTTTTTTTTTTTTAAAGAGACAGGATCTCACTCTGCCACACTGCACCAGGAGTGCAGTGGTGCAATTATGGCTCACTGTAACCTCAAACTCCTGGGTTCAGGCTGTCCTTCTATGTCAGTCTCCCGGTAGCAGGGACTGCAGGCATGTGTCATCATGCCTGGTGAATTTTAAAATTTTTTTGTAGAGTTGGTATCTTGCCATGTTGCCCAGGCTGATCTCAAACTCCTGTGCTCAAGCAATCTTGCCACCTTGGCCTCCTAAAATGCTAGGATTACAGGCATGGAGCCATTGCACCTGGCCTACTTATTTTTAAAGACTTCAGAATATAGGGACCCAGCCAGGTGCAGTGGCTCATGCCTGTAATCCCAGCACTTTGGGAGGCCAAAGCAGGAGGACACCTGAGGTTAGGAGTTTGAGACAAACCTGGCCAACATGGTGAAACCCCATCACTACTAAAAATATAAAAATTAGCCAGACGTAGTGGCAGGTGCCTGTAATTCCACCTATTTGGGAGGCTGAGGCAGGAGAATCACTTGAACCTGGGAGGCGGAGGTTGCAGGGAGCTGAGCCTGTGCCACTGCACTTAGACCTGGGTGACACAGCAAGACTCTGTCTCGAAAAAAAAAGAACACAGGGACCTGATAAATGCAGTATTTTGTAATGATTCTTTGGCAACAGTATGACTGGAGCAGGAAAGACACCTGAAGCAGGGAGGCTGGCTGGAATCAGATACAGTAATTTAGAGTGGGTGGAATTTTATCTAGAAGAGTTGTGGTGGACATGGAGAGAAATAAGTAAAAACAGAGCTTTAATGAGAGCTTATTACATGCTGGAAAGGCATCTTATTCTCACAACAACCCAAGGTGATGCTGATATAAACTCATGTCAGCACTGATTTTCTGACATGGAAACTGTGATTGAGGAGGTGAACTTGAGCCCAGAGACGGTATGTCTTAGAGCCAAGGTTTGAGCCCAGTGTGAATCCTAACTCACTGTTTAGATGGAAGAGATTCATATGGGAGAAGTAGACATTTTGACCAAAGAATAACTCAGTCTAGTTAGGAAAACCCTGGGTTAGACAATGTTAAAAACACGTCATTTTCTCTCTCTTTGTTCCTAGACCTCTATGGTGTCCTCTATGAGGCTATTGCGCATAGTGATTCTGCAAGAGAATTTAGTCTGAGGAGCATTTCTAACTGGCGTCGTGCAGAAGGCATTTGGAAAATGCTGGCGTGGAATCTTCCTTCCTAGCCACAGTAAGCTCCATAATTAGGAATACCAGGGAACCATCAGGACTGGAAGTGAGAGTATTTCAATGACTGCTAGAGAGCCAGAGGTTAGGACTGGGATTAAGCAAAAGCAGGAAATAAGAGAGGCAGACAGAGGAGGCAGCTATCAGTCTGCCAAACTAGATTCAGGGATTTGGGCATTCAAAGTGGGAAGGTGTAGGTCACAGGCAAATTCGTTCCAGAGAGAAGCTAGTGCCTGCAAGTCTAGTCTCTGTTACCTGTTGCTGGGCCCCGCTTTGCTTCACCTGGTTGGACTCTGCCAGATCAGCCTGTCTCTCCTTCAGCATCTGAAAGTGCTAAGGCTAAACAGCTGATGCTCTTGATATGGGGCTTAAGAGAGGTTAGTAGTTTTTCCTGGTTAGAAAAAGTGTTAGAGAATTAGGTTGTAGCAGGAGTGGATTGATTTGGTTGATACTCTGGAGGTCCAGGTTTGTGAAATTTTACTTTGACTCAAGATGAAATTGGGAGTAATTCTAATGAGAAAAGAAAGTGCTTGCAGAAGAGGATTCTTGCTGATATCTGAGGCTTTGGAAGGAGAAAAGGTTAAAACAAAACTATAGCTGAGTTTAAAACTCAAGACCCTTTAAACACTGGCTGGCTTTAAAACTCTACTACAGGCCAGGTGCGATGGCTCACACCTGTAATCCCAGCACTTTGGGAGGTCGAGGCGGGCAGATCACCTGAGGTCAGGAGTTCAAGACCAAACCTGACCAACATGGTGAAACCCCATCTCTACCAAAAAAAAAAGAAAAAGAAAAAAGAAAAAACTCTACTACAAATGATTAGAGCATTAGCCATGATTTCTAAAGCTTGCAATTTGACTTATGAATCTACACACTGATTACATTTTGGATATATTTGGCAGCCAAAGTAGAGCAGGAAATCATTATTGGATAAAAAGGGCCACACAGGAGGAAGTTTGTATTGGCAAACACCAACTTATATATTCACAGAATCCTACCATCTTAGTCCTAGAAGGAATCTATCCCCGCTGCCTTATGAGGGCCTTCTCTAAAATGTGTCCAAAGAGACAACAATCTCTTTTCATTTAATAACCTGCCCCCCTTCCAACTTTCTGAAATGTATTCCAACCTCCAACACTCCTATCATATTAATTAAAATCCTTTTTTTTTTTTTTTTTGGTTGTCTTCTCTCTGAACGTGGAAAACAGTTATCATCTTTTCTTTCAAAACGCTTCATATTCTAGAAAGCTATAATTACATCTCCCTCAATTTTCTTAGCTTTTGATGGAATGATATACATATGTATATCTGACATTTGTTGACTTCTGGGGGTGTGTAGGGCACTGAGCATCTCACATAAATTATCTCATTTGGTTCTGACAAAAGCCAGCAAATCAAACGTTCTTAGCCCCATTTGAGAGATAAAGAAATGGACACTTGAGGTTTAGAGGTTGGTAATAGCTTTCAAATAGCGGAAAATAGAAGAGCCAGGATTGAAAAACTGCTGATGTTCCTGTGAACACATGGATTAAATTTCCCAAACCCCTCTGAGTTGACTTCCCTACAATTTTTTTTTTTTTTTAGACTGAGTTTTGCTCTTGTTGCCCAGGCTGGAGTGCAGTGATGAGATGTCATTTCACTGCAATCTCCGCCTCCTGCGTTCAAGCAATTCTCCTGCCTCAGCCTCTCGAGTAGCTGGGACTACAGGTGTGCACCACTGCGCATGGCTAATTTTTTTGTGTTTTTAGTAGAGACAGGGTTTCACCTTGTTGGCCAGGGTGGTCGCGATCTCCTGACCTTGTGATCTGCCTGCCTCGGCCTCTCAAAATGCTGGACATGAGCCACCATGCCAGGCCATGTTTTTTTTCTTTTTATGGAACACTTCATGAATTTGCATGTCATCCTGGTGCAGGGGTCATGCTAATCTCTGTATTGTTCCAATTTGAGTGGATGTGCTGCTGAAGCGAGCACCTGAAAGCATTCTGTGCAAACGCAGCCAAGCAGAGCAAAAAAAGAGGAGGTGGGTGGGTGGGACTGCGATCAGAAGACATAGATTCAAACGCTCACTCTGAAATTTACTACTCGTTTGACTTGGGAAAATTACTATCACTTTCTGAGCATCTGTTTTCTCTGTGGTAAAATGGAGATGATAATACTGATCTTACAGAGTTCTTATGAGGACTACAAAATGCAATAGGGCAGGCATTTTACTTAGAGCTGGGCACATGGACTGTTCCAATGACAGGTTTTATCATTAGATTATGTTGTATTCTTGTACGTCTCTCACAGAAACCACTGTCTTATTAGACAGTAAATTTCTCAAGGGCAGAGACTGTCCTTCATTTTTATTACCACTCCCCTCCCCTCCAGCTTAATGCGGGTCACATGGTAGCACGCAGCAATGTTTTTGGTAATGGTGTATGAGAAGGAACCCTAGTGAGGAATCCAGGCTGGAGAACTCTGAAACTGGATACAGGGGCCGGGTGTGGTGGTTCCCACCTGTAACCACAGCACATCAGGGGGCTGAGGTGGGAGGTTCGATTGAGCCCAGTAGTTCGAGACCAGGAGTTTGTAACAAAGTGAGACTTCATCTCAACAAAGGAAAAAAAATTGTTTTTAATTAGCTGAATATGACACTAAGGTGACTTGTGCTTATAGTCCCAGCTGCATGGGAGGCTGAGATGGGAGGATTGCTTGAGTCCGAGAGGTTGAGGCTGTAGGTAACCATGATCATGCCACTGAACTCCAGCCTGAGTGACAGGGTGAGACCCTGT